ACAAAATGTGATAGCATGTCAAGCTCGAAACTATTCTAATTAATCTGTATTAATCAAAGAAAAAACGAGAAAAACCGTGACGCTGTGACAAAAAACGGTCAAAAATGTCACAGCGTCACGGTTTTTCTCGTTTTTCTTTGATTAATACAGATTAATTAGAATAGTTTCGAGCTTGACATGCTATCACATTTTGTAGAGGAAACAATCTTCTACCAAGTGGTATACTTGTTCAATTTTTGCCAGCTCGTCTTCACTCTTTTAGACACACTTTTTATACAGCTCCACAATCGATTTTTTGGGCTGGTTATACAACAGCTGCATTTTCATGACGAATCAATGTTCAGAGCCGAGACATCTTTCATTTTATAGAGAAATGTTTAATCTACTTAATTATCTAGTTGCCATTTTAGATTAGTTTGTAGCTTTATTGCAATAACTTTTTGAAAAAGCGCAAAAAGTGAAGGCCGTTAGCTGGACAAGCCGTTTAGACAGCGATGGATCCTGATTCATAAACATCCACACGCAACCCTAACATAATGACGGGGTAGAAAAAAAGTTCGACTTTATTATAATATTATAATCTTGTGAGATCTTGTTTCAAGATTTGTAGACCTACAACATTTCTGTCTCAAGTAAGAGCAGACAAATCCAAACAGTATCTTTTCTCAACGACAAAAATAGTACGTTTAAGAATAATCGTCATATTGAAAGTACTCATAGAATTGAGTTTTAGGATACAAAAGCACTCTAGACAGAGCACTAACGTATATGAAATACTAAAGTGCATAGTACAATCATTTTTATAGAAATTTTACCGTCTATATTCTTCTCTAACTAAGATATAGAATTCACATGCATTTATCACAGTTTATCTCTCAATCTCATTGAACTATATTACTATTATGCATAGATTGAAAACAATAAAAAATATTTTCTCTGTATCTAGATCAACGCTACAGAAGAGGATGGGGAAGTGGTAAAAGGAATGCAAGGTGGATACTGTAGTTTAATAAACACAAACAAACAACGACAACATTAATAATATATCTCAAAAAGAAACAGAAAAAACGTTATTTTGTGACCAAATTATATTATGCAGATAATCCTCTTTTTTGTTTCTATTGTGAAACTATGGTTAAAATCGGAAATTAATGATAGTAAAATCCATATCTCGAACTATAATTCTTTTTATAAGGATCAATTAAATCAAAAAGATGGTAACTGTGTTTAGTTTACGTGAGCACTAATCTTGTCTCCATTAGGCTTTTACATTTACAGAAAATGACTTAGAAGCAATTTTAAATTGTTTTTTTAAATTATCTGAGCATCAAATTTTTTTCTAGTGGCCGTCTTTTATCCAGAATCAAATAATACACCCACCACTGAAGAGTTTTTCGATTTCTTACCTGACTCGCATACAAACGTAATCATTTCCTTAATCTTTCGAAATGATCGAGTCATCGAGATTTTATTTGATACCCGTCTAAATTTTTGAAGAAAAGCGACCTCTTCCATATTCTAGTAACTATTCAAAGTATTTTAACCGTTCTGTCCGAGCAACATCTCATTTGAAAAAGCAAAATAGCCAGAATAAAATTAACTAATTTAAGTTCAAAGACATAGATTGAAGCGAGAAAAATTTTAACTATTACAAATTTTGATTTTCAAAACTGTTTGTTTTTCTTCATGCAAATCAAGTTTTTAAAGTATCAAAAAAGAGAAAACTTTGACTAGTTCGTAGTACTTTCAGTTCTATATGGAACAGACACAAAAATGTTGAAATAAACGTTTCATAACATGATTAAATTGGTCTTATAGGGATGCCACCTGTGTTCATTCTTTTTAAAGCAATTTCAATATATTCAGTATCTTTAGTGTCGAACGTGAGACAGACTGATGTCGGTACCACGTTTACGTTCGTAGTAAACTAACTAGCAAGAGTCTCCTGTGTAGTGGTGGCGCCAGGGGTGGGCTAGGGTGGGCTGAGCCCACCCGAAAGGAAGTTAAGCCCACCCTGAAAATTGTTTTCAGTGCTGAAACTTTTTCAGTGTTCCCAAAATGGGTGGGCTAGCCCACCCCAGAGCAAAATCCTGGCGCCGCCACTACTCCTGTGTGCATACATTTGTGAAGTTCATCGTGATCATTTACTCGAGTATTTTACACCAAAAAAAAGTAAAGAAATCTACAATGTTACTAAAATATTATAAACAGTTTATAACACATCAATCACCGACAGAAAAATAAAGTTCATGCAGAGTCGCGGAAAAATGTTTTGTTTTCTATTCAGCACACTTGATAATCCAGAAGATTTTCTATTTTTAGCAAGACGTATTGTAAAAAGTTTAGCAACATTTTTCGAATAAAATGGTGAAAAAAAAGCTTCCGTGGGAGAATAATAATTTCCATGGGAAAATAATATTAGTTTCAAAATTTTTTCCTTTATGCTTTTAAACGCATCATTTATCTTTTTTTGCGAATAAATGTTTAGAAATGACTGTTTTTCAAACTAAATTGGTTACAATTAAGTTGTCATATATGACAACTCGACCTGTTTTATAAAACAGGTCATTAAAATTGACGTGAGTCACAGTTACCTTGATCATATTACCAACAGAATTAAAATTATTCTAGACTAACGAGCATGCATTCAAATGACGATTCAATTAAATTTACTTTAATAATGATTTATGTTGCCACATGATTCAGACATCAGACTTTTGTACAAATGACGACATAAAAGTAAAAAGGATACAATACAGATTAATAATACTTTCATTTTATTTTGTTTTTTGATTGTAGAATAGAACAAGACGATGATAGTAGACGATATGACTCAACACTTTTCTTTTTACAATGTGCTTCTACTTTATCTTTCTCTATTTTTTTTCATAGTAAAATAGAAGAAAAGTGTTGAATCATATCATCTATTATCATCGTCTTGTTCTATTCTACAATTAAAATACAAAATAAAATAGAAGCACATTGTAAAAAGAAATTGAAATTGTATTTGAACACTAAAAAACACAATTTTAAATCTTCTTTCTTCAACTAACTCTGCTCTATACTATTAATTTTTATTTACAATGGTCATCGTCTTGAAAATTATGCCATTGTATAAATATCTAGGAATATGGATTGACAATAAATTAAGTTTTTCACGTCACATGTAAAAAATTAAATTAAAATGCATGAACAAGTGCGTAGTAGCTTCACGTATTCTCTAAAATATTTTCGTATCGTACAGAACCAAAAAAGGGTATTTCCTTCCATTCCAGGATACTCTTTTTGGAATCTCTGAGTAACAAATGCAGATACCCTCTGTTTATTGGTTCTGTGGAATGACGAACGCTCTCAAAGAAATCTCACAAAACTAACAAGAGTACACTGAAATACCAAAATGGCATTGTAAAATACGGTTAAGGGTATTTCTAATTCCGTAGAGCCAGAAAAAAGAAGGTATCTACATTTGTTACTCAGAGATTCCAAAAAGGGTATCCTGGCATAGAAATATCCGTTTTGGGTTCTTTTTTTCTATAGAGAACAGGGTTATTTTATTACTGTATTAAACATATATTCTCACCCACATTCGTTATTCAAGTATATTAACACCTCTGCATTCTGCCATAAGCTGTCACGAATTTGACTCTATTCAATTTCAATTATTAAAGATACGTATTTACTTTCTATTTATATCACTAAAATCCACGCTAAATATCTTATAATACTCTCATTAGAAATATTTCCCTTACATGTAATGTTTCTTAAATTCGTTTTTCCCTTACAATTTCTTCCGCATGTCGTGTCGGTTTTATCCTTTTTTGAAAAACGTAAAGTCTTTCAACAGTATCTGATCAGATCCACAATTTTTCTTGCTCGCTCACATGGTTTTAATTTAACAAATGATCTTGGTAAATATTCGAAAAACAGAATGTATATACATATCCAGAATTAAGGTTTTACTGTGTCCTCCATAAGTGTATGGATTCGTGGTCTAATAACTTCCTCCTTTCACTATTTATTAAACGTAAAAAGAAAGTACGTTGTTGTCTTTTTAAGAAAAAATCATTAATATTTAGTTCTTACTTCTTTGTACGCTCCTGGATATATAATAAACAGTTACTACTATCAGAATTTCATTCAGTTATGAAATCATTCAAAAAAGAAAAATTTTCTCTTCAGAAAAAAAGAAACGAAAAAAAATGTATGCGTGTCAAAAGTCAGTCTAACATGTTTTCTATTAAAAATATACATAATATTTTATCTTTTGAATACACGGTATAACACACAAACAAATAACGTCATTGTCCATTTTCTATTTATTAAACGTTGTTATAGCACACACATACACGTTAATTCATAAATATCTATCAATCATGGCTAATCTGGGCGAAAAAGATATTGAATTTCTTACACCATCATTACTACAGCAGTTTCATCCATGTGAAATGATAGGTGAATACTTACGTTACTTTTAACATTTAATACCGTTTTGTACATTCAATAGCTCAAACTTATAAACTATTAAACTGGCTTCCTAACAATCTTTTTTGCACATTATATTTCCTAGTTTGTACTCAGTATAAGTAAGTCAAAAAGTTTAAAAATTCTGTTCGGCTAAAACAGATTGCTGATTCGGCTACGATCTACGAATGTGGATATTCGTACAATAACATATGGATCAGAGTATCACAAAAAAAAACTCCACCATCGTTTCGATATTCGAATCAGCAGTCTACTTTGATCGCATGCACGTTTTCTATACTATTAATGTCAGAATCGCCTGTCAAGCAAATGTTTCGACGTAAATACTTTTTCATTTAGTGATGCTCAACATTACAGAAATAGCATAAAATGATCTCGAGATCACGGTTTTTTTATAGTGTAAAGGTTTAATTTCTTTCTTATCATGTGCACTTTATCTGACCATATATCTTTAGATGCAATTAATCTTGATAACGAAAGTTTCAGTGAAGAAAAGTCAACAGTTTTGGTACCAAAAAGCAAAATATTACCCGAAGATAAAAGTGTGGTTAAAGATGTTGAAGTAAATTTGTCAACAATAGTGGCTGATGTTGTAAAATCAATGAATACAAACGTTGAGATGGTGAGTGAGAAAAGTAGTATACCACAGATACCAATAGCGCAAAGTGTGACTGAAATAAAGCAACAACCATCATCAATATTAATGAATTCAACTATTAGAAATGATGAACAACTCGATTTGTTGATGAAAACGAGTTTAACAGAGCAACAGCAACCATCATTAATACCTCTTTCAAAACGTGTCGGTTCAGCATCACATATTCCTCATAGGATGGATGATGATCTTGATATTACTACAATCATCAATAAGTCGAAAAACCAAACAATGAGTCTAATGTCATCAATCTCACCAAATAATACTTACAGTTTAGTTGGTACAGCTAACAACGTATTAGACTTGATAAGAGAAGAAAAAACGAAAAAAGTAACTTATGTCAATCCGCATAATAATGATATTACAGAATTAATAAAAAATCAACAAAATCAAACAAATTTAGTTGAACATGCTGAAAATGAACGAAAAGAATTTTTGAATGCAATAAATACAATTAATTATTACTATTAATTGATGATATTTGCTGAAATCAGCTATGCTAAATAACATTCTTCATTTAATTAAGAATTTTCTTTTAAAACAACATATAACATTTTATCATTGTATAATGTGACCTTCTCGTCTCTTTTTTTGCCTAAATATTGTAAATAAAGTTTCGTAAGATGGAAACAAAAGTCTATTGAAATTAAATGATGACGTGCTTCTGCTTATAATAAAACCGAAAAGAAGCTTCTCTCTTTTTGCTTCAGCTAACACTTTTCAGTTTAAAAAGTATCATGAATGTGCAGTTAATGATTCAACGAATAGGATTGATTATTTCTGTTGTTTTGCTATGTTAAGAGTGACTTGACTTACTTCTCACAGCTGCTTCACTTCAAACAACTATTGTCTTGTCTTTTACTTTAGAAATAAATCAGCTGCGTAAGTTTTTCTCTTTAACAACAGTCTAGAAATATCGACCACACTGGTACATCGACTCTTCCACGAACAACTTTTCCCCGAATTTCCGCAAATTCAACCTTCCGTGAATGAAATTCTTTTCACACCCACTCTCACACTGCTTACTGCCATCACATTTCAATTCGCGGAAGAGTCATGTCACGGGTCACACTGCTTGTCCAATGCTAGGAAAACAAAATACAATAGATTCAACTCGCAGCGCAACTATATAAAGTATTCATCCTTACGATCTTTTTTATTTTTGGAGATGTCAATCCATATACGACATTTTGTAAAAAAAATGAGACAAATAAGCAGCAAGACAAAAATGCACGAAAAAACATTCTAAGGCAGCATGAATTGATAAAAAATGAAATGAAAGAACTAAAGCATAAGGCACAGAAAAAAACCGTAAAAAAAACGTTCTTTCTCCTTTCTGAAAAAAATAAATACATTTAAAAAAAGACGCATCGTCCGATTGTCAGGGTAAGATTTGAAAATAAAACCGATAGAGGAACAACAAGTAATTATGAACTAAAAAATCTCTTCTTGTCATACGAAAAAGATATTCGAAGCGTACAATCGTGGGAGTAGCGGTAACTAGAAAAACATGACAATCAATAAATAGTAGCGATAGAAAGAAAAGTACAAATTTGTAACACAAAATCAATAGTTTATGATTGCAGTCTGCTGTTTCGACGAATTGTTGGTTGTTGAGGAGCCGGCAATGGTGGATATTGATCGTTCGTTGAACCAATTAAACAAAAGTCATCCTCATCAAACTAAAAACAAGAGCATGTGATCGAATTTCTCTCAAATCTAAGAGAATTTATTACTTACACTTTGTCCACTTGATTGCGATAACGATGACAATTGACTACTTCCATTACGTTTTTGCAAATGAAACGTTGAATCAAACGATTTGACAACATCATCCAAATCTCTATCGCGAGTACGGCAAACATCATAGTTTTCTTCTGATATTCGAATAGAAAATAAATCTGGTTCATCTTCTAGTAAAACAAACGAAATTAAACACTTGGATAATATACGTCATACCACGCACAAGAAGTTAGTTACTCACCACTTCGTATGCACGTATGAAGGAAAGGCTATACCTATTGTTCTGTCGACTACATGTATCTTTGCTAGTGAAGTCCCTCTTACTCTTCTATATTGTGGCTGCTTGCCTTTTAAGTGACTTTTTCGTTGTCCACAACGAAATTAGTTCAACATACTTTGATTTGTACGTGCAGTTGTGTTTGTGCCCGTAAATGGTAGTTTGCAACTCAAATCCTGTAATGAAAGCAAAGTCAGATGATTATTAGACAAGAAAACTAGCATTTTGTTCCAGCTTACCGTTGTTTGTAATGGTCGACGCTGATCGGTTGGAAAACTATAAAAAGAACATAATGGAATGAAAGATAATCGAGGAAAGATGCAGACATACTTTTGTGGCTGATGTGTTTGTGTTGATGAATATAAATTGTCCGTCAAAAATTGATTCCTTGGGCCATTTTGAGTAAGCGTACCTACAAAAGCAAAGAGACATTTTCCTTTTAGATTGGCGAGAAGCGCGGTTGCTCAGAAATTGCTACTACTGTTTTCTCTTTCTCCCTCTCTTTGATCTGATACCTCTAATAAGAGAAACCCTTTTATTTACCGGTCGAGCGGATATAAACTTCATTTGACATATTTGTTGGATTAATTCGACCAAATAATTCTGACGGTGGCAGCGGTGAATACTATAAAAGAACAGTGAAAGATTGCTAGATTACTGTGTGGTTTTTGAACTGAGAAAAGATATCTACTCTTGTATCGTTCAACTGTTCGTTGATTCTTGACGCTGTACGATGGTTAAACGATTGAAGACCATCAACACCACTTGAACTAAACGAGGAAGGTGTTGGCACAGATGAATACAACGGCTGTTGTGATGATTGCTGAACACCATTAACTGGAAATGATCCATTCATCATCTGCAATAAAATACAAATATAGAAAAAACAAGCAAACTTCAATTTTACTTTTCCAAAGATATGCACAAAGTGGCTATTTCGCTTAACTAATTACAGATTAAAGACAGCAGTGTGACAATCATAAGACAAATCTCTACTGCTTAGTATTCTCGAATGGTTTTCTCCGTATACTTCACTCTATACAAAACTTAGTGTGACAAAAGAAAACTTACCATTTGTTGTTGTAATAATGTAATAATAGGATAGTAAGCTTGAGGATTCAGCATTGCTTGTGCTAGTGCAGCTGTGAGAACAATATTTTCTTGTGCCGGAATAATACCCGGCATCGATGCCGCTGGAAATGGCTGCTGTGGAAAGCCAGGTGGGGGTGGAGTAGGATGTTGATGTAAATGGTGATAGTGATGATGATAATGCTGTTGAGTGCCTTCAGCTGTGGTTGATGAATACGACTGTTGCCATGGCCTTGTTGTCGGATTTAATGAAGGTCTGGATTGCCTCACGGTATGATCATTATTTGCACTTGCACGAAATTTATCCATTTCTTGTTTCGAATGTGCGTATGTACAATGAATGCCTAAAGTAAATAAAATCAAGTTATTATTTTGAAATATGTCATCATAGTCGATTTCAGTTGAAAAATTACTTTTGTGATTAGGTCGCTGATCCTGCAAGACAACGTCTACTACTCTTATGTAGATCAAAAGCTACTAAATTTCCTCACATATAAAAGCTGCATTATTGGTACATACCTCTCGGACATGCACCTTTTTGTATGTGGTCTCGACATAATGATACTTTATATTTTGGATATGCACTCGAGTTCAAGTCACCATTACTACTTGCATGTGACGTTGTTGCCGAATCGACAATCATCCCAGCAAACACTTGAAAAACATTCTTAAGTGCTTGTAATATTTCACATGTACCACGCATAGATACGAAGGTTTCATCGACATGTCCTAAAATATGAGAAAGATATCAAAAGAAATAATTAAAGGTAAAAGAAGGGGCTTCGCAAAATAATCGGAAATGACAACTAAAGAAACTGACCCTATTATATGTTGTTCTGACTCATTTGAACTTATTGTCATACATTTAAAGTACTGAGAAGACTTTTACTACACAGCGTCTTGTTTCAGTGAAAACAAGTAACTTATTTACTCACTATCATGGTTTTACTTCCAAAATCAACTTATATAGCTCACGTAAAAAAGTCGACAAGTGTGAGTCTGAATTTTTAATGGGTAATCATTTTCTTATGCTTAATTTTATATATCAGAACAGAGAATTGATTTGGCTAAATCTGATTCTAAAGCTCGGGAAGCACATCCGAACAAAAACGTGCTGTATATGTGTAAAATGAATCTTGATAACTCGAACTCCGTCATACTTTGGGACTAACACCTATAAAAAAAGCCGCATATTCATAATTAGCAGAGCGTGCTCTACGAAATAGGCGCGATAATGCATTAAAAATTCAAACTTACACTCGGTAAGCTTTCGTCTTCAAAATATATCAGACAAAAAATCTCAGCTCTTTGGATACTCGAAAACGAGCGTGCGAGCAATCACAGTATTAATATCAAGTTTCTTCTTACCTGTTGTTGAGTCAACTGCTGATTGTAATAATTGAAAATCTTTAATTAAATTTTGATTTACATCACTGTTAACATTATTTCGTTGAGTTAATTCTTGTATTTGTTGTTGAAATGTTAATGATGTTTGTTGCTGTTCTTGTTGGAGAACTTTATCAAGAATTGTTTCCATTCGCAGTTTATGCGACGGATTTCCATATAGTAATGATGACCATTGTTCCGGAGATATACGTAAACCAGCTTCTTGTGCTATTTGAACAATTTGTGCATCATGCTCACGTCGTAATGCCTCATAGTTACGATTTTCAGGTTTCAGTTGCATCAACGAGGATTCATCGTCACGTTTTTGGACCTAATAGAGAGCAAATAAATCACCAAGCATTAGCAAAAGAATGCGGACACAAGTACAAAAGGCAGAGAACTACTGACATTTAACTATAAGCTACTCAAGTTTTTCTTACCATAAAACAAGACGCTCTATATAACAACTGTATAACATGTCCAATTCTAGTTTTAGATGCACCTGGTTGTAGTTTTTGTACAACAAATAATATCAAAACTTTTCTAGTCATCGCTGATCCATCTTGTAATGCTAATATAATCAATTTTAACACTTCTTCTTGCATAGCTGTAAAAGGCCGAGATGATTAAGTATATATTACTACAAAACGAAACATCTAGAGATATTACCTGGTCCAAGAAATCGACATCCACGACTTTTGATTGCTTGCCATAAATCTGTTGCTGACTGATGTAACGTGTGTTGTTTTGCCAAATATTCTGTTAATATTCGCTCGCCAAGCGAATAAGCTGCTTTTACACATTGTACACGACCATCATGCTCCACATATTGACAATTGAGTAATAATAAAAAGTTGTCAATAATTAGACGGGGTAATCGATTAACTACAAACAGAACTGGTTGTATAAAAGCGTATATTTCAAAATCGAAAAAAGAAACAAAGGTACAAAAACAAGCTGTTATAATAGTAAATCC